GTGTGCCCATAACAAGTTTCCACCTGGTTCAGATGATCCTGGGTGTTCTTAATGTCATTTACAACCAAGTTAATCTCCATTGTGGCCTTACATTTTTATTTACAAGTCCAGTAAAAAACTGCCTGGTGAGCAAGACTCAGGGGCATTTGATATCTGTCATTTGGTGACAAGATGAACTCATAACTTGAATTCTGTTTCATAGCTGCAGGAGTGTTAAGGTGGGGGGAATATACTTGTTACTTGTTGCTGTGACTGTAACCAATGTATGTGGMTTTAAAGATGTAATTGTACTTTGAAACTTAGTGCTGTAATTTCTCCTCTTAGTTACTATGCCAGCCAAAAGAAGACATTTGAAATTAACCCCAGGCATCCACTGATCAAGGACATGCTGAGGCGAGTCAAGGTAAGTAAATAAATAACAGTAGTGAAACATTGAATTGACTTGGTTGCATACAACCTGCTTTAACAGATCTGTTTTGATTTTCTTGTGTTCTTCCTYGTTAGGAAAATGAAGATGACAAAACTGTTTCAGATCTTGCAGTGGTATTGTTTGAAACTGCAACTCTGAGATCAGGATACATGTTGCCAGACACTAAGGAATATGGAGACAGAATAGAAAGGATGCTTCGTTTGAGTTTAAACATTGACCTGGATGCAAAGGTTAGTTTGTCTTCCACTTGATAACTGATTTACTGTTGCTCTAGCTTAAAAAGTGTAGCTGCCTGATTCACTTGCATAAAATGAAATGTATTCAGCTTCCTGCACTTAAGTGGGCCACCAGAAGTCCAGCCCTGAGTCTGTACTTAATACTCATGTTCTCTATTCTTTATAGTTGCTTGAAATTCTGTTATTTCATCATGTTTCTGAAGTATTGTCCTGTCCTTAATTAAGTAGTGGTTCTACAGCAATAAATTGGGCACACAGACCTTTGACTGCTGTCTCCCTAATGGAGAAATTCCTAAATAAGAATAAGTAACACAGGTTCTCATAATGTTGTGCAAGAACTCCTGCTGGCTCTTTTGTTGGAGTGGATCAGTTCTAGACAGATATTTCTCCTTCAGGYAGCTTGTGGCAAATGTTAGGAACTGATAGTTTATCCTTCCTTAGCCTGTATTTGGCCAGTGCACAACTTGTTAAACAACCTAAACAAGTAAAGCAAATTGCTTTGTGACCTTTGTGTACAGGTGGATGAGGAACCTGAAGAGCCTGAAGATACAGCTGAGGAGGCAGAGCAGGATGAAGAGGAAGTGGATGCTGATGCTGAGGACAGTGAAACACAGAAGGTAGGCTCTCAAATTGGATGCTTTCTTGCCAATATTTTTGTGCAGCTTTGTCTGTGGGTGCTACCTGGCAATAAAGCTGTTCACTTGGCCTTTCATGACACTAGATTTTTGTGCAACGTGGTCCAGGTTTTTCTTGGAGGGGAAGAAAACTGCAGCACAAATTCATTATTTAACTTTATTGTGAGAAGATAACACTTAGATATTTTCAAAACCAGAGCTAAATTAAGCTTTAGAGGTTGTAACAGTGCCCTGTGACAAGAAAATGGCAGCAAATCCTCTAGTGAAGATAATTAACTGTGGTATTTCCACAGCTTGTGGGCAAAAACATGAACAAATCAGTAAGAGTGTGGTTTTAAATGTTTACAGAATAGGCTTGGAACGACACTCCAGCCAACACTAGTGCTGTSAAMCACTTCACCTGTCATGTRGAGTCAGCCTTCACTCAGTTCATGKCTGCAGTTTTMATKATGCYKTGATGGATGTGCTGAACTCTTCTCACACCACAGCTTCTTACGTTTACCTCTAAAGTTACCTCTAAAGTCTGCTTTCTTGGGGTGTTTTTGGAAGACACCTCCAAGATGATATCCTGTGACWAGTGCAAATGCATAGCTTATAGCAGCGTAATTTCCTGCTGTTAAATGTCAGATTAGGTAAGAATAAATTTGAGGAATAATATTTATTGTACTATACCTACTTAATTTTGATGCCACTACTGTTGTGTTTGCACAGCAATGTAACCTGCAATGATAGAAATTTCTGTTCTTCTGGGACAATTCTTGTAATCATTTTCCAGTTTCAAAAAGTAATATTCTGATTCTCTTTTCATTTTCACAGGAATCCACAGATGTGAAAGATGAACTGTAAACTGCACTCAACTACTGTCCTGCTTTGGGGGGTTAAGAGGGAATGTGAATTAGATTGTTTTGTTTTTTTTCCACTGTACAATGTCAAGGGATGGTTTGGGGTTTTAAGGGTAAAGGAGTTTTTTTTTTAAGTTCACTTTTCTAAAAACATTCCTCATGAATGTAAATTTGTATTATTTAACTGACTTGGTGTAAAATCTTGTCATGTACAAAATAAAATGTTCCCAGACACCATTAACTCTAAATTTATACAGAGCAAGCTCATCTTGTGGGCTGGCACAATGAAATGAAGTTATGATCCTGGCTGTTCTGTGTACACAAAGGACCTGACTGTTTCTTGGCAGTCCTTGCCACCTTTCCATGCAGGCACATCCACACCTACTTCTCTAGCATCTGCCTGGGGCTGGGATTTGTTTACAAACCTGCTGTGCACCTGCTATCTCAGAGCTGGATAGAACATGCTCATGAAAATAAGGATTTGAGTTAGGTATCTCCTGCAAGCTTAAGGCTATGAGATGGGGTGGTTAAAAATGGCATTGAAAGTGAAGCCCTGCTAGCTTAGGCAGCAGAAACTTTACAGATGAGGAGGAAAAGATTACTTTGCACAGAGTTGGTGAACAGCCCCCACCAGAACTGGTACCATCCTCCCTGGCACTTGGAACCCCTGCCTTTGATTTGTGTGGCTGCAGCTATTCTGCTTCCTACAGGTTTTTTTGGTTTTTTGTTGTTTTTTTTTTTTTAAGGTGGAAATTCTTTTCACATATTCTTAATGCTGTTACTCCTAAACGTTTTGACTCTTTTTTTTCTAGGTCCCTTTAGTATGACAAAGCACTGTAGATACTTAATGTGACTGAAGCAAAACAGGGTTAGGTGTAGACATATTGAACTTCTCTTTGTTACAGTAGCTTTATGTGGTGTTCAGATGAAGCACTACATTTTCTCACTAGCTCCTCTACTTTAAAACCTCTTCACAAATTGGGTAGAAAGCAATTACAGTGAGATTTTGGGGGCTTATTTTGCCTTTCTCTGTGGAAGGACATAGGAGTGGTGCTTCTGCACATAGATTCTACTTCTGAACCAATCTCTTCTGTTTCATTAACAGAACTTCTGTGAAGTCTGAAGTAAACTAAGTTTTCTTATTGGGTGAGGCCACTAAACACTGACCCGAAGAATTTGCTTTCCRTTTACTAGGCCCAAAATATGCCATGTATCAGTGTGATTATTGTGTTACGTTTTAGAGAAAAGGTTTGATGAAGTRTGCTGTTTGAGATCTCAAGGAAAGGAAGCTGAGTTTGGGGGGTTTCTGGTTTCTATTCACTGTTGTATCCTAGAGAAGAGCCTGTTGTTATTGTTCAGGCTCTAACCCAAGTTTCAATCAGCTTTAGTAGCAGCCTGTGGTAGTGAACAAGGTGCTTCTTGGGGCACCTTCTACTGCCTACACGAGTGAAACTTTGTAAACAATGAAACAACCTCCTAAGTATCACTTATTTTTACTGATGCACTCAGCAATGTATCATTGCTACCCACACCTCTCTTTGACCTCAGCGTAGGAAAGGTAACTCACACCATATGGTTGGGGACAATTCCACCCAAAAAACCAAAGGGGAATATTGGAAGTGTAGGGTGGCCTGCTCCAGTATTCTTAATCTGTAAATTACTTGTGGATTTAAGCAACATTTGTTCTGTTTTATAGCTGGAGTAYTCATTGCTTTGATCAGTTTGAGAGTAACAAAACCCATTAAATTTCAGAAATAAGAAAGAGCATACTTGAGTCATGCTTTGTGCTTCTTGATATCAGCTGAGGGTATTGTGTGCAACCCAGATGTGGTCCAGCTGTTTTCTTGCATGCTGCAGTGACAAGTGTTTGCTATTAATAACCACAAAATGCACTTCTAAGTTTACCTTTTTTTTTTTTTGTCAGCTCTGAAGCAAAATGAKGTCAGTGCTGGAAGTGTCTGCCAGTCAGCACTGTTTCTTTCAGTGCCACAGTTATGCTGATTGTGGTGCTGTCACCTCTGCTGTTAAAACGTGGTGTATTGTCAGCTTTGCTGTTCCAGATGGGCACTAATGAGGACATTTCCTCACTKCTAGAAAAGGCTGAGCTCCCTGTGGCTCAGTGTTCTGTGACAGCAGGGTACACCTAGAAATCCAAGCCTAATTAGTAGCAASTCCCCTCTGCAGCCTTTAGATACGGAAAACCTTTAGAAAGTAGGGAGAAATGCATCTTTCATGTCAGAAATGAACAACATAAGAGGTGATAGTCTGACAAAGTGTGAGTTACAGTGCAACGGCTGGTGAATTCTGGCTTGTTAAAGGGATCATTGAAAAACTGCTGTTCCTACCCCAGTTAGAAATGAAATACTGCTGAACTGTCCTATTTTCTCTTCAATAAACTTTATCTTCTGCTGAGGTGGAAGGTTGCCAATCTCAGCTTTGTTTGGGTGCAGTAAAGGAAAAAGTCTTTTCACCAGAAGTGGACCTATTAAGATGTTCTCATTGATAATTTTGTTTGGCCTTAACATGTGTTTCACTGTAGCCTTTCTCTCAAATGCCTGCTGTTCATTGATGAAGGTGCCTGAGAGAGAGGATGTGATCTCGTTATATGAGTGCACACAAGAGCAGGAGAGGAGTTCATCCCACCAACACCTGTAAAACTGGGTGAGAGCAGACACATACACCTGCATAAGAACTATAAACCTTTCATCCTAGGAAAACCACTCCAACTTACAGGAATAAATAAAATAATAGCTTCATAGTACACTGATGTAAATGTAGCACTTGCAGTGATCATTTCTGGATCCCTCTGCTCTTAGAAGACTTCCAAGCACTTTGGCAGTAGGAATGAGGGAGCTTTTTTTGTTTCTTTAATGAGTAATCTGTCAGACTGTGTTTTTAACAARTTAAGTGAGGGTGAAGCCTGTGCTTTGTTCTGGCATCCTTGTAAAGAGAAAGCGATCCCCAACCTTCACAAGCTCTACTGTGTACCACTCAAAACTGGCTTGTTGAGGCATCTTTGCAAGATGTTGACKCTGCATCTTCAAGTTCCTGGGGTGAGAGTTTTGTGGTGATTCTATTTCTGGAYTGAAAGGTAAACCTACACCTGTTATTTCACAGTTCTGCACATTTACAGCTMTCAAAAGCAGCCACAGACAGATGARGATTCCCAAYTGGAGCACAAACAAATATAATTTCAGTATAATTTGTACATATTTGCCCCATTTTAACTAAGAAGACCAAGCTGCAAGATTCCAGTCTCACAGAGGACCAAAGTAGATCTGTCAGTGATACATCTTTGTCATGGTTTGACCCCTTATTCTGATTGAGATTTAAGAACTCACAGCATTTTGGCAAACAACTGATTGGACTTTCACTGACAGCATTCACTGTGTGTTTATTTTTAATGYTGTCTGCAACTCTCCTTAAAGAAAAGCCAAAAAGCATTGAAGGAACACAGTATTTCAAATACATATTTCTGCAACTTAAACAGTTGAATAAATATTTTATCAGTCCTAGTCTTCACAATGAAAATAAACTCTGGTCACTGTTGTGAAGTCTGAACTTCGCTTGATCTTTCTTTTAGACCCAACAGTTCTGTTTTCAGTTCTCCAGGCTTGGGAGGTATTTCAGGTATGCTCTGTTAAAAACAGAGAAAGATGTCAGTGTTGTGACAGTGGAAAAATGAAACTCCCAAAACAGTAAATGAGCTTATGCTTTAGCTGTCATACTCTTCAACTGTGATTTTACCACCCTCTTTTCTGAGCAGATTATAATTCCTACCTTCAAAACACCTTAAGAATTATTACCTTTTTGTCATTTGATTTATTTTAAAGTAGCAAAATATAATTTGAAAAAAAAAAAAAAAAGCTAGGATGAAAGGAAGAATGAACAGTTTGTTTCAAAGGAGCCAAGCTTCTTTTTTGCCATTAAAGTGACTTTGCAGAGATGTTCTTGCACAGCAGAAGTTTCCACACACACTCTTGATGACAGAAGAAAAAGTTTCACTGCCCCTACCTTCCTGATTTAGAAATTAAGCACTGAAGTTGGAGATGAAATTTTAAAAAGGTACCAGATAACATGACATTTCAAGAACTGCATCTCCTCAAAATTCATGCTACTTTAGCRGTATAGATCATTTGATCATTCTGAATAAATGTCTATTTGCCTGTAATGAAGGCTACAGTAGAGACTACTAAAATACACAGATTCTAAGGAATCTATCAATAATTTAAGCCTCATTGCATAACTTTTGATCTGACAGCTCAAAATGTGGGAATTTTTGTGGTAATTTTTTTAAACTTAATTCCCATTTGAACATAGCACAGAGAATTTAAAAACCCAAGAAATATACACAAGCAGGATGTTGAGATGAAGTTTCCAAGTCAGGCCTGCAAAAGGCTAAACCAACCATTATTAGCCCTGGTGGATGGTCTCATTTAGAGTAGTTATGTGACCGTAATTTTGACAGCCTTGTCATAATTTCTAATGTCAACTTTTGGTCGTCTTCATTTCTGTTASTGGAGGAAACAAAGTCTATTTAAATCTAGTACAGCCCCTTTTCGAAAAGCAGCCTCCCGCAGCAGAGACTCCTGGATATACGGAGAGGAGGGGACTCCCCAGAGAAGTCAGAGAATCACAGAATTGTTAGGGTTGAAAGGAGATTATCCAGTGCAAGCCCCCTGCCAAGCAGGATCACCCAAAACAGGAACCCTGCAATGTGTTCAGGTGGGTTTGGAAAGCATCCAGACAGGGAGACTCCAAGACTTTTCTGGGCAGCCTGTTCCTGGGCAGTCTGCCACCCTCAATGGAAAGTTCTTCCTCATATTAAGGTGAAACTTCTTATCTTTTAGTTTGTGGCCTGCGCTCTTCATCCGATCCGAGAAGAGACTGGCACCATCCTCTTGACACCCACCTTGGAGGTATTTATAAGCATTAATGACACCCCCTCTCAGTCGTCTGTGCTAAGAGAGATCCTACATCATCTTTGTGACCCTCCACTGGGCCCGCTCCAGTAGCTCCTTGTCTTTCTKGTACTGAGGAGCCCAGAAGCGGACACAGAGCAGTCCTGGCTGCTGGGCAGTTCCTCTGTAGAGGCTGATCTCTGCAAACCGCCAGGCCAGAGACCTTCCCGAGACCCCCCGCCCCGCACGCTACCAGAGCCCGGGCCCCTGCGAGCACTTACGAGGTCAGGCCGGTAGTACCTGTGCACGGCCTCGGCCCCCGCCAGCATGGCCAGCATGCTGGCGGCCAGCGCCCGCAGGTACACGGGCCAGGGCACGCCGGCGGGCATGGCTGCGGGGCGGGCGCTGGGCACGGACCGCGCCGGACGTGCGTCATCCCCGCCGCCGCCGCCGGCCGGGGGAAGGGGAAGGGAAAAGGGAA